AGTATTAGAGTGTAGATACTAAATTCCCAAAATCCATAATTAATATAAAACTTTCAACGGAATATAAAGATAGTATTCGAATCTCCGACATTCTTGTTCGATAAAAATCATCATCTCGAGGAGGGATATTAGAAATAAAATATCTCCATTAGAAATTTAAAAGAACATTAGGTTAATACTCGTGCAAATGCACGAGATGAAAATTATATATATAAATTATTTTGTCTTATTCTTATTTGGTGTTCTTTTATATATTATAAAATAATATATATATATATATATATATATATATATTGAATAATTGAAAATCTATAACTATTATATATACAATTAAGTTAGCGAGTACTTATATAAACTAATAATATTTGTTTATTTACAATCACTTTACATAAGTAAATCTAATTAATAAATGATATTAACACACACATATATATATAATACTTTTAATTTAGATATCTAATAAATTAAGTTTCATAGTTACATGGTTTTATGATCATTTGTATATTTTTGTAATAAAAAAATTTAAAATATTGATAACAGCATTTTTAATGTGAGATATTTAATATTTATATTAATTTATCATCGTTTAAAAAGTTAAATTCAAAGTTTGTCATTAAAGTATTAAATTCTAAATACTTGTTTGATGCAATTTTGGAACTAAATATTTATGTATTTTTCAATGGTATTTAGTTTAATTTAAACATCACTAATATATATATATATATATATACATATCTAATTTAAATATCTATTAAATGATATTTTTTACTTATTAATTATATAATTGTTTGTATCGTGCTATAACAAAAAAAAAAATTAAACTATTAGGCAAAAGTATTATATGTGAAATTTTTAATTTTTTAATTAATTTATTGTTGTTTTTCAAAATTTTAAAATATAACATATATAAAAAAATCTAAATTTTTGTTATATAATTAATCTTATTGTTTAATTTATTTTCACAATATAAAAATAAAAAAGAGTAGAGGCTATACAACTTTTTTATCAAATCTTTCATATTTAAATCATTAACTGTCATATAATATATTATAACCATATTAGGCAATTACGCAAATTTTATTTAAGGAAATAATAATTAGGATTAATACTAATTTTATGCTTAGTTTAATAAAAAGTATATTATTGAATTTAGTCTGTATAGATTTTATTTTTCTTGTCTCTCTAATTTTGATTGAAAGAAAAAACTACAATAAAAAAACTACAACTTTTAAAACCCTAAAATAACTATTTTTAAACGAAAAGATGAATAAACAGAAAATATGGCTATATGACTATGACTTAGAATTAGACAAACCTACAGATCTGAAAGTTTGACTATTTTTAAAGATGAATAAATAAAAAAATATGGCTATATGAGGCTGGTCCACTTTGTGAATGTAGTAATGAGAAACAAGGTGATAGTTTGCACAGTGCATCCAGTAAGAACTCCAATCCAGAGACCTTTAACTTTGAAGTCAAGTATAAAGCAGAAGAGAAGTCCTACTGGAATTCCGATGATATAAAACGCAGCGATATTCACATAAGCTCCAATCTTCTGCTTGCCACTTCCTCTCACAACCCCTTTAAACACAAACACATACCACCAAAAGAAATAAGACATTTATTTAGAAAATCTCTTTTCTTCGTTGTTTATAAATTAAAGACTAACGAGAATATGTATTTCTAACCGGTTAGTGAGGCTGACAAGCTGTCCATGACAATGGAAATGCAGAGAACCGGTGTGATTTTTGCAGCGTAGTGAATCACTTCAGGGACGTTACTATAGGCATGGCCCCAAACATTTCTTGAGATGTACAGAGCCAAGCTTACGGAAGAAGATTCAACAGCTGCAATTATGATCGCAACAAACGCAGAAGCTTTAGCTGCGACTAGGTTTCCAGCTCCTAGTTCGTTGGCCACATTCGTGCTACAACATTTAACAATATCGAATAGTTACAAACTGACTATAACGTTGGCATTTAACTTTATTGCTCACATGTGTTTTACATTAATGAAATTGCTATCATGAGTCACATGCTTAAAGTAACATGTGACATAGAGTAATCTATATATATAAACTAAAGTTCCCTCTTTCTAAGGGAAGCCACGTCATAAAATAAGGTGACAAGAGACTGACACGTGTTATCTTAATAAGTCATTCTCTCTTTTTCTCTGTGAGATTTCGTGGGCTGTAAATCTAGGTTAATCTGTTTTAATTGTATGGGCCTGTCTACCTTTTTAAATGGCCCATTTTTATGCGGAAAGTCTAATCTTGGATTCTCCGTAGCCTCCGTTGACTCTTATGGTCCTTCTTTATCTGTTCATCACATTATCTTTGAATGCATCTCCCATCAATTCTTTCTTCTGGATTTCCGACTATAAAAATATATGTTCTATACCCTCAAATTCATCAGTTTGAGCTTCTCAATCTTAAGCTTTCCGAGAAATTCTTGAGATTTACGAAATCGTTGAGAAAAGTGATGGTGCCAACAACTTTCTTCGTGTCGTTGCCAGTTTTGAGACCTGATACGCAATCACACTGGTAAGCCATAACTGCGCTTATTCACACACGAGCATCTTTGTGCATCACGGCCACGTCTGTCAATTCGGTGTGGTGCTGCGGGTAAGAGAGTATCTGGAGCCAAATGGTGGTTGCAGTGATTATTCCTTGTGGGATACATCGATGACGATGAGAACGAAATTACAAGGATCCCTTGAGGTTTTACAGCGAAGGAAGTAAGCGGCTGGAGTTGAAAAGGAAGTGGAGAGAGGGTACGGGACTTTCGACGAATCCATTGGATTGAAAGCTTTATAAACAGAGAAGAAATAGATCTCTTGAAAAAGCCCAAGAAAAATATTGTTTTTAGTTAGTCAAATTTATAATTGTTTGTTTACATTTTTAGACCTGATATCATTTCAGTCTTTGTTTTACAACTTTGGTCCAAGATTCATTTTTGGGTCAACATACATTTAAACTTGCATATATCAAATGTCTTTCTTTTTTTTTACCTTTCACTGCATCAACGAAAATTGTACCCTAATTTAGACTGGTCCGCAATATTGAAGCGTCATCAATACTAACAATTAATATATGAATAAAAATGCAGATGACCAATCCAAACAGCAGCACCAAATGTTCAGAAAAAAAAAGAAAAGCTAAATAAAATACTCAAACTACTTTACAAAGAAATTGTACCAGCATCGCGTGACATACTTAGAGACATCACACGTCCTTTGTCACGCATAGGAAAACAAAGATAAACAGAACGTGAAAAAATCCACGAGTAACACGATTTTCACAGATAAGCGCTGGTGTTACCACTGAATCTACATATGTACTAACAAAGACAGCACGTTAAATCAAATGTTAATAAACAAACTGAACACATTAACTCCTCACACTTTCGTTCTAAAAAAAGGAAAAAAATCCTCACACAAAATAAGATCACACCATAGACACATTAGTCTCATTTCTAACACTATGTAGGAAAAATGGTTAGACGAATACGATAATGACTTCGTGTGTCTATTTAAAAAACCAATAGAACTGGTTGACAATAAAAGTAAAGTGTTACAAAACATTTTTTTGACTAAAATGTCAAGTTTATTATATCAAGTTTTAAGTTTTGGACATGATTACACAGGAAAAAAGTAGCATATGGACATATATAAAAGCTATATGACAGAAGTAGAAAACATAACAAAAACAAGCTAAATCAGATAATATCCAAAAAATCAACAATATATAAAAAATCCGCGCGGACCAACCCTAATCTTTTTATATAAAATTATGTTTTTCACTCCTAAAAACATCCACATAGGATACCACCTAGATAAGTGAATGCCTCTCATTGAGACATGTGTCCATTCCTCTTAAACTCATCTTTCATTTAGAAGAGTTGGTTGATGAGCTTTTTCATTCTCTGTCCGTTGGGATCTACGCTTGCAATACTTAGACTGGGCTTGAGACAACGCGCCTTGCTCTAACCCTAATTTATCAATCGTCGACTACGCATGTCGTTTCTTCCTTTTCCTATGCCGGAGATGAGTGACGCTTGATTTGCTTCTCCATGTACGAAACGGGGGGAGTTATAGTTCATCTTAATTTCTTTTTAGTCGATCACCCACTATGCGATCCTGAATGAGGCGTTCTTCTGAGACGGTGTCAGATCCGTATAAATATGTGAGTGCTTCTCCTATCGAACTCAGCCTTTATTTCTATCTCTGTCGATATACTGAATCGCGTTCTTATGGCTAATTCAAGAGTTTTCTTCTCGGAATTGAAGATCAGTGGTTGCTCATCCATCGTCAAGGCTAGGCTGCTGTGTTTCTGAATGTAAGATATTTTTTTTAGATCTGCGTTAGATCATTTCAGTCTGGTGGTTTCTCATTGTTTATCAATCCTCTGAAATATCTAATATGTTTTCAGTCGACTATGATGCAAGCCACCATCAATGCTCACGGGAAGATGGACAACTAACTACTTCCTCCGTTTCGAATTAATTGTCATTCTAAAGAATAAATTGCGTTTTAAAATAAGTGTCGTTTTAGAGTTTTAAGGTAAAATTTATTAGTTT